TTTCCCTCCCCGCCAGCCCTTTCTCACCCGCTTTCACTTTCTTTCTTTTACTTTCTCTTTCCTCCGGCGCTCCTTTCTCTTTCTCTCCCTTCCCTTTTTCTTTCTCTTTTCCTCCTTGGTTTCTCTTTTTTGCTCTCTCCCGTTCTCACCTTTCTCTTTCTCTTTTGTCTTTACCCTTCGGGCTCGCTCCCTCCCGTCCTCCTTTCCCCTCTCCTTCCCCCTTTCTCTTTTTTTTTCCTCCACTTTTTCCTCCTCTTTTTTCCTCCCTTTCCCCTTTTTCTTTCATTTTGCTCTTTTCCACTTTTCCCCCTCCCTTTCCTTTCTGCCTTCGCTCTCGCTCTGCCTCGCTCCCGCCGGGCTCTTTGCAGCACCCGCTCCCCTTTTCCGCCCGCTCCCCTTTTTCTACGTCCCCTCTCCTCTTGCTCTCTCTTCTTCTTTTCCACCCTCTCTCCTTTCCCATCCCCTCTCCCGCTTTTCCATCTTCGCTCCCTCTTCTCCATCCTCTCTCCCTTTTTTGCATCCCCTCGCCCTCTTCTCCACCCTCCGTCCTTCTGCACCCTCTCTCCTTTCCCATCCCCTCTCCCTCTTTTCCAGCCTTTTCCTCTTTTCCATTTCCATCCCCTCTCCTTGTCCACCCTCCCTCCTTCTTTTCCACCCTCTCTCCTTTCCCATCCCCTCTCCCTCTCTTCCACCTCTCCCTCTTTTCCACCCTCCTTTCCCATCCCCTCTCTTTTTCACCCTCCATCCTTCTTTTGCACCCTCTCTCCTTTTCCATCCCCTCTCCTTTCCCATTCCCTTCCCATCCCTTCCCTCTCCCCAACCCTTTCCCTTTCCTCTTCCCCTCCCTGCTTACCTTCTCCCTTCCCTCCCTGCCCCCTCCCCTGCCTTCTCCCCTTCCCTGCCCTCTCCCTTCCCTCCTGCCCTCTCCCTTCCCTCCTGCCCTCTCCCCTCCCTGCCTCGCCCTTGCAGAGGGTCCCAATTCTTGCTCGCCTCCATGTGCGACTTTCTCATTCATATGCTATGGCCACTTAAACTCCCTGGCTGCCCGAAGGTTTAGTGTAACCTGAGGGAGAACATGCACATGCAGCAGGAGCATTGTGTAGGGTAATATACATCCGTTAAAAGAGAGGCCTCAAAGGTGCTGGAAGCCCTCTGATGGCCTAATAATAATTATTAATGCTAATAAAAATTAGTGAACTCCTCACCTCCTGACAGAAGGCTGGAATAGTAACTACAGAGTCTTTGTTCAGTCAGAGATATGAATGGGTCAGCCTTGTTCAAAAACCTCCTTCCCTGAGCTCTGTCCTCTTGCTTCCAGTCCTCTGCTGGCTGCATTTTTATCTTCCTGAATTACAAGAGGGAATGGCCTTCCCCCCCTACCCCCCCCCCCCCCCTCCCCCCCTGCCCCCCCCCTTCCCTGCCTGCCCTCTCCCTTCCCTCCTGCCCTCTCCCCCCCTGCCTGCTCTCTCCCATCCCTGCCTGCCCTCTCCCTCCCTGCCTGCCCTCTCCCCTCCCTGCCTGCCCTCGCCCACCTTCCCGCCGCATCCCGACGCGGAGGCACTTGCGGAGCCGGCAGTACTGGCACTGGTTGCGGTGGTGCTGGTCCACCGGGCAGTCCCGGCCGCCCCGGCAGCTGTAGGAGAGGTTGCGGCGCACCGAGCGTTTGAAGAAGCTTTTGCAGCCTTCGCAGGTGAATTGCCCGTAGTGCTTCCCGCTCGCCTTGTCCCCGCACACCAGGCAATCCCCCGCCGCCTTCCCCGCCGCCTCCGGGCCACCGGCAGGAGGAGGAGGAGGAGGAGGAGGAGGAGGAGGAAGAGGAGGCTCCGGCCACGGCCCCGCCGTCAGGGCCATGCTGGAGGGGAGGGGGGGCCGGGAGGGAGCCCCCCCGGGGGAAGGGGGTGTCCTGGGGGAAGGGATGGAGATGGAGGGGAAGGGGAGGCGGGGGGGGCCCGGGGCGGAGAGGGGAGAGCCCGGGGGGGGGGGGGG